GCATGGCTGCCACCTGCTCTTTGAGCAGGAGCTGTGAATCCAGGAGGACCCCCAGATTATGCACTGGGTATGTCTGGGGCAGTGCTACCCCATCCAGAATACCCCATATTCCATGTTTGCTGGAATAAATACAAATTGGTCTTCCATAGATGGCCAGCACTTCTGAAATGTTTACAGTACATCATGGCCAGATAGCCAAAATGGCTGCCATAGGGAAACTTACTTTTCCCAAAATGATTTCAGTCGGTGTGTAACCAGAAGGTGAACTTGTGAGGCAGTGCCTAGCTACCCTGCCAGCCTGCCCTCATCATCTACGGCTTTTCTTAGGTAGGTGATCATATAAACAGAGCATGGGATTTCAGCCATCAATCATTTTTATTTTCTAACTAATAACTATGAGGCCCTCAGCTATTCTGATAAGTAAGGATGTTAAATGCTGAGGCAGAAGACCTGAGAAATACTAAAAGAGCTCTCTGGGAGCCACCTTGGGAATGCAAAGTTTAACACATGGAGGCCTTGAGAAGCTGGCCTAGAAGTACACTTCTAGAGGGGGAGGACAAATGTGGGGCAGATAAAGAAGAAAAAGGAATGGAGAAAGCTGTATTTAAAAAAATCTCAAACTGCTCTTGATACATTTTTATTAAAAAACAAGGCAAGTTACAGTAATATATGGAGGTTATGATTAATCCATTTTTCAAGGTATGGTGGAACCAATAATTAAATGTAGAATCATGCTGTATTTTAAGTAAATAACATTTGAATCCAATAACTGAAGACTAGTGAAACTCAGCAGCGCTTCCCCAATGTAAATAGTATTGATTACTGATTAGATTCAAGTGCACTTTTCATTTCCAACCATTCAGATGAACATGCTCTAAAGACACATAATTTGATCTATTGGCTTTTTTTTTCTTCATCCCCTCCTCCCAAATTCCATTTTTTGCCAAATGTAATTTTAAAACTGCAAATGCAACATTGTATTTGGTTTACCTAAGTATTTTAAATATCTGTTGAGTTAAACGTCAAAGGCACATTTCACCACCATTCCTTTTTTGATGAGGTTTGGATTAAGAATTCTTATGTAGGAATTGTCCTCCCTCCAGTTTTACATTAGAGCAGTTACTGGAAGAGCTCTGTGTTAAAATTACTATCACGTCAATAGTTTGATACTTCAGAGACTTGCTTTATTTATTTATTTAAAACATATTTATTTATTTATTTATTAAATTTATGTGGCCACCCATCTTAAATGAAATTCTGGTGGCTCACAACCCAAGGATAAAAACAATATATACAAACAATAAAGCAAAAGCAGTAAAACCAAAAACAGAAACACTTGGGGCCACAGCTAAACTTTCCAATGCAACCCACAACACACTCCTCCTGTGCCAATCCTACCCTACCCCTGTGCTTCGGGGAAAAGCTGGGTCTTAACTGTTTTTCAGAAGATTAAAAAGATCTCAAGGGGAAGGGTGTTCTCAAGGGGCTGCAACAGAAAAAGCACACTTCCTAGGTCCTGTAAGATGGCAGCGCTTAGGAGAAGGGACCTGGAGCATGCCTACCCTATCTGATCTGGTGGGAGGCAGATGTCATCAGAGAGAGGTGGCCCCATAAATAATCTGGTCCTGTGCCATGTGGGACTTTAAAGGTAATAATCAGCACCCTGAATTGCACCCAGAAGTAAACTGGGAGCCAATGAAGTTCACACAGCAGGGGTATAATGTGGGCCAACCTAGGGGCATCCAATACTGCACACACCCATTTCTTTAAAAGTTGCAAAATTTTGCTACATAATGTGTAAGCTTCGCCCGCAAATGGT